TGAAACCACATCCAAATACCAAAAACCTACGACTTTTATTTTGTAATTATTTGAGAAGAAATCATGTTAAATGAAGTTTCAACCTTGTGCCTTGTAAAACCCAACCTTGATAGAGACACCGGTTGACTTGGTTTTTTTTTTTTTTTTTCTCCTGTAATTATCATTTGTCCAACATGGCAGACTACCAAACCATTTAAAATTATTAAAAAAAAGAAAACAAAAGAGTAGTTCTTGATTCAATCAATTGAATTATCCGATTTCCACACAGCCTATGGAAGTGAACAAGGACATGCAAGTCCACCTCAATAAAAGGTTGGAATTAACGTTTTCCTTTAGTTTTCAGGTCTTGAACCCCACGAAACACCCCCCTCAATAGATTAAAGTAAACTAAAACTAAGTAGATGAGACTGTAAATACAAAGAGTAGTTTAATTTCACTTCCTAAGTGCCCCGCAGAAGATTTCCCACATTATATTCAATGTGAAATGTCCCGATTGGTCATATCTACTTCAATCTTAAACTACATGCACGAATGAAAACCTATACATATTAGCAAAAGTCAACAATGTCCCTGATCAATCTTTATTATATCAGATTAACAAACTTCAGAGCAGAAATTAATGCAATATGAAAAAAGAAAAAAGAAAAAAGGGCATCATCATCCCATACTGCCAAACTGATAGTCAGCCCACCTTGAATCAAGTACATTTGTTTATATAGTTAGGTAGGATTAACCCGCATTTTTCAATGTAATCATACTAACTTTTGCATTTTAGTTTATCCCTAAAAATAAAAAAAAAAAAACTGAAAAAGTCAATAGTTTTAATGTGTCTTTATCATGTGTTCATGTAATTGAAGGTTGGGATTAGTTTAAGCATTCAATCATTGAATATTAGGTTAAAGATCTGAGGCTATAAATGTTGAAAACAGAGTTTAAGGTTACATACATTTTATCCAAACTTTTGATACTAAAATTGCATACAAGCCACTACTACATCAATTCACCCAAACAAAATGCTTGTTAACTCCCTTTTCTTTGGGTGCATTATTTAAGCAAAAGGATTGTATATCCCCGGGCCGGGATAGCACTTTAGCATTTATCACTTCCATAGTTGTATGGATTAATTACTTAAGTCACTTAAGCACGGGGTCGAGAGTTCAAACTCATGTGTATGCAGCAATGCCCTTAGGAGAGGTGCCCGAGCAAGGCACTTAAGCATGAAATCTAGAGTTCGCCCTTAAGAGAGCAGTCATAAATAAGACCAATGCCCTTGGGAGAGCTGCCATGAATAAGACCCAACCGAGGCACTTAAGCATGAAAGCTAGAGTTCGACCATAGGAGAGGTGTCGTGAATAGGACCCAACCGAGGTACTTAAGCATGAAATCTAGAGTTCGACCTTAGGAGAGTTGCCCTAAATAAGACCCGACCCGACCCGACCGAGGCTCTTAAGCACGAAATCTAGAGTTGGAACTCATGTGTATGCAACAATCAACTTAAGAGAGAAAAATTCACAAGCATTCATTTTGGAGTTGAAAAAATGGCCACAAAATCATATTCAATAATATAATATATTAAAGAAGTGCCCCATAATTTAATGAATTTACTACAACACAGTACAAGAAGACCCCAAAACAGCTGTTAAGCAAATGTGAATATGATATTAATTATGGTCCCTCTCAAGAAACTTCCCCAACTTATGTTTTCCCACTTATCCCAAATTAGACCAACTTCTTTTCATGAAATTCCAGTGGCATTACAACCATATCCAAAAGCTAGTGTGACTGTGTGAGGACATTATGGTCATTTCCTACGCCATTAAATTCCACCACCAACCTCAGAGCCGGTCATAGATTCCGGTCATCTTAAAAAGGTTGTCGACGATAACTCCGACCAGCGCACGCTAGCGCCGTCAGTATCGCCGGAAAATCAAGAAATCAGTTCCCATTTCAAAGCTTGAGCCTTTGGCAATCCATTGCGGAAATAATGCAAAAGTAAGGCTATAAATTAAAGCAATTTCGCATAACGAGATGTGGGATGAGAGAGAGAGAGAGAGAGAACTCACGAGAATTCGAGCGGCCAGGGAGTGGGAGGGGCCACGGTGGGAGAGGGAGCTGAGAGCCACCTCGGCGGCGGCGTGCTCCGCCAGGCGGAGGGTGGGGCAGTAGTGGGGGCTCTCGAAGGACTCGCCGTTGAAGTTAACGATGGCCTTGAAGCGAGGGGCGTGGTCGGGGCCTTCCCTTATGCAGATGTAGGAGGGCAAGGTGAAGCAGCTCCGCTGCGCCAGCTCCTGTAGCTGGTTCTTGTACATTTTCCAGCGCAGAATCCGATGAGTTTTCCGGCGGGTTGAGAGAGAGAGAGAGAGAGCGAGAGAGAGAGAGAGAGAGGAAGAGAGGTTGCAGGGTGTGGCGTTGCTACAAAAAAAAATGAGCAAGGATAGGACAATGAGATGTATTTTTGTAAGTTTGTTGTTTTTAGAGGGGCAAAATTAGAAATACCAAGAAGTTGAGGGGGTTGAGCGTCAAGAGAACGTTAGACTGCATGGATAATACAAAAGTATTCCGTGGAAAAGTAGAAGTGACAGTGTGACACTCTTTTTGTTAATTTGACCCTCTTTTGGGTTTGTTGGGTATTAGTCCACCCAAAGTTTATTATTTTGAGCTCATATGTTGACATTTCTTAGAAATTAACGTTATTAGTGTGTAGTCCAAAAAGGAATTTATGCCAAATTTTGTTTCTTCTTTTACTTTCCTAGTTTTCAAGTTATTGGAACAATTACTAATTGCTTTGGTTGAGACAATAGTCCATTTATTGTGTGTTTCAAGAAAAAATAATATACCCACAAGTAAAGGGGAGTATCGAGCATGCATGTATACGTGCACGCACACACACACATATATGTATATGAATGAGATTAAGTGAGAAGAAGCGCCCAATAACAATTGGGTGAAATTTGAGCAGTTGATATGTCCAGATCCACAACTCTAAAAAAATAACATACTCACAAGTAAAGGGGAGTGTTGAGCATGCATGCACACGCATACGCGTGCGCACACATATATAGGAATGAGATCAAGTGAGTAGAAGCTCCCGGTAAAAGATGGTGTTAAATCTAAACCGTTGATCTATCCATATAAACAATTAAAAAAACATTGGGAAATCACAATTTTGGTCCCTCAATAACTGTCAATGTAGTCCCTAGTTTTCAATTTCAATTATGCACTTGTAATATAACATTGTGCACATGAAGAACAGAACTGTGCACATGAATAGCAAAACTTATACACATGAAGAACAATATGAAGTGGCGGGGAGGGGGGGGGGGGGGGAGGGGAGGGGAGGGGGGGAGGGGGGACCAGCGAATAGTTAAGAGATACATCAATTCTCAATATGGCTTTGGCACCAAGCTGGAAAACCAGTAAGATCATCTTGTAGAGTTCGAGTCACGTCTTCTAGTGGGAGGTCAAGGATGTGCATGCCTTTAGGGTATCTTCTGGATAGGGCTCACTACAAGAAAAATCACGAATCACGACGGAAACGTCGCGACAGAGCGTAATCCGTTGTCGATTCACAACGGTTTTTGCGACGAAACATGTTCTGTCACGATTTTGCATCGGAAATGGTAACGGAAATCAATTTCGTAGCGATTTTTGGCGCGAAGTGAGAAAAAACCTAGGAAATTTTGGCGCCCACATTTTGGTGACAGATTTTGCGACGGAATTAAGTTCTGTCACCACAACGGCGACGAAAAAGGCAACGGTTGATGGTTCCGTTGCGGTTTGCGACAGAATTGGCAACGAGAATTTATTCCGTTATGATATTTGGCGCAAAGTGGAAAATATTCCCACGTAATCTTTGCACCAAGGAATTGACGACAAAGGCTGAAGACGGAAATTGCGACGAGTATTTTTTCCATCGCGAAAATATTTATATTCTGAAGTAACGTTTATTTTTTGCAACAGAATGGAACGACAGAATCAATTTCATCGCAATATATTGACATGTTGGTGACAGAAAATGCGACGCCCTACATGTTTGTCGCGTTATGGCGATGGAATCGTAACGGAAATTAATTCTATTGCGATTTTTGATGCAAAGATAGATTTGATGTTTGAGGTTAGGCGAGGGAACTTGCGGCGATTGTTCTTTCCATCAGTAAAATATTTAATTTTTAAGTAAATTTTATTTTCGCTACGGAATGAGATGACAGAATCAATTCCGTTGCCAATATGTTAACACATTGGCGACAGAAAATGCGACGGCCCACTTGTCCGTCACGCAACGGCGATGGAATCAGCAACGAAAATTCATTCTGTTGCGATGTTGGGCGCAAAGATAGATTTGACGTTTGAGGTTGGCGACGGAACTTACAACGATCGTTTTTTCCGTCGCTAAAATATTTAATTTTGTAAGTAATGTTTATTTTCGCTACTAAATGAGACGACAGAGCCATCTCCATCGTGGTCTGATGGCACCTGGTATAGACTTTCAAATGGAAAGTCCCAGGATCGACTCCCATCCTAAGCATGGGTCGGAATACCCTTGAAAAAAGGGCGGTCCCGGAAGGTCTCAGGCTCGATTCTCATCCCAAACATGTCCGTCGTGCTACGATGATGGAATTAGCAACGGAAATTAAATTAATTCTATTGCGACGATCGTTCTTTCCGTCACTAAAATATTTAATTTTTTAAGTAAAATTTATAGCTTTTTAATGGTCGAATTTTGCACTAGGTTTGGTAATACAAGTGGAAAATTTTAAAAATTTAATGTAAAATTGAAATTACATATGAATTCATATGCTATAATTAAATTGCATAAATTTTTTAATCACTACTCCAGCCGTCCTATTTTACTTATTTTACTTTCCTTTTTAGTTAGTTCTGAAATAGTGTATTCTTTCTAAAATTGAAATTAACTATCATTTTACATTTTTCAATTTACCATCTTGAGTTGTTTATATTTCTAGGCAATTAATAGGGTGAGTACAATTGTACTTTGTACAAATGACACATACGTCAAAGGGGCATAAGAGTTAATACCTCCAATGGTCCTCCGAGTATTAGCAATTTACCAGCTGTGGTCATCCGAGTTTTAAATGGCTTTCAATGGTCCTCAATATTTTAAAAAATAACTACACGTAGTCCTTTTAGGACGTCTCGTGGTCATTTTAAACTCGGGGTTTTTTAAGAATTAGGACCACGAGTGGTTATTTTTTAAAACATGGAGGACCATTGGAGGTCATTTAAAACTCGGATGACCACCGCTGGTAAATCGCTAATACTCGGAGTACCATTGGAGGTATTAACTCGGGGCATAATTAGAAAGTTAAAAATAATTGTTTTATTGTATTAAAAATCGTGCAAAAAGCAAACGTGCCAAGGAATTATGGACAGAAAGAATATTTACTTTTAACAGAAAATAAGTTAAGTTTTACTGTTTAATCAATATTGAATTATAAATTTACTTTATTTTAACATAAAAAATTGTTACAACATCATTTTTATTATCGATTATAATTATCAATAACAATATTCATCTTTACTATTACTTTTACTAGAAGTTTAAAATACTCTTTTTTTATTATATCAAAAATAATAATTTTTATTTTATATTTAAAATTGTACTAAACATTTACCTATTTTAACTTTCGTGTTATATATATATATATATATATATATATATATATATATATATATATATATATGTTAATTTAGTTGACCAATACCCTATAACCAAACTATCGATAATTAAAATTTTTAAAAATCTTTAATCAATGACCGAATTGCAATATCTTATTTAAAAATTTATTAACTGAATTTATCGGTTTGATCGCTTAACAAATTTTCACCGAATTGTACACACTTTTCAATATAATAATTAAAGTTTGTGTGAATATTTAAATATGAAAAAGTTTATTCATACACAAATGTGAAAAGTAATTATATATAGAGTAATTAATTTTCTCAATTATTTGGAAAGTATATTCATTGTAATCATTAATCCAAAACGACGGTAATTTTTATAATATATATATATATATATCTGGCCGCCCTGAGGCTTGAACTCACAACTTCCGTATGAGGGAACAACTTGATGTCACTGGACTACAAAGTTGGTATATATATTTATATTTATTTACTTTAAAAAAAAAAAAAAAAAAAAAAAAAAAAAACTCAAGCATGAGTATTGCTCTGTAAGTAATATCTTCCTTCAAAATAATTATTAGTAATACTGCGTATCTGTTATCCCAATTACCACGACCCACGTATTCCCCATTTCCCTTAATTGTCCTAAAATCTCTAATTCACACTTCTGCGTCTGCGACACTATCGCTGCGTCTGCTATCTGCGAAGTTCGACCAGCCGACCAATGTGATCCCAGCGCCCCAGCCGGCAGCCGCCAAGGTCTGAGGTCTCCCTTCGGTGGTTCTGCCTTCTCCCAATTCCAGTCTCCGTACTCGATATCTCCGGCAGATGGCAGTAGCTTCTCCAGTTCTCCGTTCTCCGTTCTATATTCGGCTATAGCCTATAGCTCTATTGTTCTAGCTCCGTGCTCCAGGTAATTAGGCAAACACTAATTCATTAAACAATTTTTTTAGTAATTAGTTACTTGTTACTTGTTATTGTTGTTGATACAATTAAAGCTTAGTAATTAGTTAATTCAGATTCAAAATTTAGTAATTTTTAGTAATTAGTTTTCATCGTGATTTGAGATTTTTCTGTGGTGCTCACGGTATTTGAAAAATTATTATTGATTTCTTGAAGAATTGGTGAATATTATTGTGTTCAAGTGAAATTGTAATTTTAAAGGCGTATATCTACATCCCTGAACATCGTATTTTAAAAGTGTACATATATACATGTGGTTCATCGTTCTGTAATTCTTTTCAAATGTGGATTGCTTGGTTAATTTGCTTATATACATATGCGTACATCTTCTAATTAATGGAAGGGGATGACTGATTGGCTTACTGTATTTCTTATATATACATACTGTAATTAACTAAGGTGGTTGGATGATTAGTGTGGTGGGTGTGATTAACGTTCTTTGCTTTATTCATATATTTTGCTTTGTTTTAATTGAATTAGTGTTGATGGATGATTAGTGTAGATGGACGATGGGTTCAAAATTTAGTAATTAGTTACTTCAAATTCATAATTTGGTAATTAGTTGCTTGTTAATTGTTATTGTTGTTGATTAACTGATTAGTTGTTAAAATGTTAGTGATAAATGATAATGTGATTACTATCTTACATATTTCATGTTTAGTTGCCTATCAATGCAAGAACATGCGAGGAATGAAAAATCTTGGGTTTGGCATGCTATTGATTTTGTTAATGGGTAACTAAAGGAGGAGACGTTTTGCATTATATTTGCTTCTTTTGAGAATAAGTGTCACTTTTCTTGCATATGTGGTTACATATGGATACCTCAAACTCTTATTTTTTGATATTCAAACTACTGGCTGAACATTTATGTTTCATTGCTATTGTGGTTTCTCAAGCATTTTTAGTTCTATATATACGATGCATCATCTGCTCACTAAGATATATAAATGCAGTTTATTAATGCCAAATCACAGAGAACATGATATTATTCTCTTGTCTAATGAGAAGAATAAATTGTCTTACGATATTGGAATAGTTTTTGAAGTGTTGCCTTGGGCATATAAGTAGTAGATAATAAATAGTAATTTATGCTCATTAGAATTTATTAGCCTACTGATTTTGATTTTCCTTTTTACATTCGTTGATATCTATGATCTTAAAATTTTTATATGCGTTAATTAAAACAATGTATGCTTATTAGTTGAGATTTGTTAACACTATTGTATTAGTAGATACTTTTCTTAAGATTATTTTAATATATAATCATTGTGATTTTATTTTATTGTGCCTATTGTGTTGATGTTGAGATTTTTATTGTGCCTATTTCACTAATTTTTTTTTTTAACTTTTGTAGCAGCAAGTTGCATTGCAACGGGATGTATTAACTCAATAGAGAGGATGTAGATGAGTGTCAATTGTATTATGATGCGGTTGCCAGGCATGATAATAAAAGAGTTTATGGACTTGACTCATATGAAGCACATCGAACAATATAACCTCAACATCGAAGCCATTAGACAATGCTAATTCTGCAAAGATGCAAGTTGATATTCAGGATTTGAAGACTTCTATGCTTCTTATGCAGTAAAGATTATATGCTGTTGAGAGTGAAAGAGCTGGTACTTCATGTCTTCATCAACACCCTCATCACAACCGAATTCAATTTGATATGATTTTTCTTTTATGAATTACTTTATTGTTTTTAGACATGAATTTGGTATTAAGTACAACATTTAATTTTTTCAACTTCAATGTAGTATCACTTTTATATTACAAGCTATATTGTACTTCAGTTTGCATATTAGCCATTTTAAATACAAATATTAGAATTTTCACAAAATAATAGTAATTATGAAAATATTAAAATAATAATAATTTAGCAGAATTGTGACGAAATATAATTTTAGCGGTGGAATATTCATTGTCATTATGACGACAAAAATGGTGACAGAAAGATTTATGTCAACTAAAACGTGACGGAATCACGACAGTGATTAGTTTTGTTATTTTTTTAACGACGAAATTTTGTGACGGAAAACAAATTTTGCGATGGAATATCTAGCGATGGAATCACTACGGAAATTTGTTCCATCACTTTCTTATGATGAATTTGTGCGACAGAAGATGAAATTTGCAACGGAAAAGTTAGCGATGGAATTGCGACGGCAATTTGTTTCGTGGTTTTTTTACGACGAAATTTTATGACAGAATTCAAAATTTGCAACAGAAAGGTTAGCGACGGAATCACGACAATAACTATTTTCGTCGTTATATTTCACGACAGAAATATGCAACGGAATATGAGTTTTGCGACGAAATAGTTTTTCACGCGATAGCGACAGAAAGAAATATTTCCGTTGCCAAAATTGCGACGGACTCGCGACGTAATGACTTCCATCACCTACTTTGCGACGGACAATTCTGTCACCATTTTCCGTCGCCACCGCTCTCGACGGATTATTTCTGTCACGAGATGAAATACGACAAGCCTTGACACTACGGAATGGATTCCGTCGTGAAAATGTAAAATTCCGTCGCAAAACGCGATTTGCGACTGAATTTTGCGTTTTTGTGACGGAAATTTTCCGTCGCTAATCGCTATTTTTCTTGTAGTGGCTGCTAGGGTGTCAGCCAGAGCATTTTGCTCACAAGCAACAAAGTTGATTTACCAGTCCATGCAGTTACGCAAATCCTTTCTGCATGCAACCAAGATGTTATGCATTGCATTGCTGGTTCCGGAGTTATTGTGAAATGCTTCCACTACTTCTTTCGAATAACTCTCAATTCTAACATGCCTAAAGTCCATGAGGTTTGCGAGTTGAATTCCTTTTAAGAGGGCCCAAGCTTCAGCCTCCATGGGAGAGCATGTTCCTATGTTGTAAACAAAGCATTTTCCCCCATTTCTGGTACTATCTCTGACAACATCGTCGCAGTCTGCTTGGTTTGTTTGTAGATTGATCAAGCCATCTACGTTAATCTTCAGGAGGTTACCTTGTGGTTTCGTCCAGGAGAGGCAACTCCAGACTCTTGTTTCATTCTCGATCAAATTACCGTTAGCTCTTGCAAAGGCTACCCTTATTTCTTCCTGCTGTGCTTTGATCCAGGATATCTTGGCACTCAGAGGTAGCTCAAGTTTATTGAATATTGCCTCGTTTCTCCACTTCTAAATACACCATGTCGTAATGGCGAAAAGTGAGTTGTCCTCATTAGGGTGATTACGATTGCCTTTGCTTCTGACGTCATTATCAAGCCAGTCAAGGAAGGGAAGTGACCTGGCCCTTGTGTAATTACTGGGGAATAACGTCCTCCATACTGTATCTGCTTCCGGGCAGTTTCGAATCACATGGTCTGTGTTTTCAACCTTATCACTACATTTACAACACTTATCACATGTGGTAAGATCCCATCTGAATCTGGCTTCATTCGTCATTATTCTACCATGTCTAACAAGCCATATGAAGGCTCTCATGCGATTGGGTACCTTTAGTTTCCAAATGCTATTCCATTTTTCTACTTCTAGGGCTTCACCTTGGCTTGCTGCAAGCTGGTATGCTGAGTTAACCGTGAAGGTACCCGAGGCCTCTTCCCCCTACACAATAGTGTCATTCATATTATCATCATTGCAAATAATGAAAGCTGCCAATCTGCGAATGGCCTCTTAAGGAAGCAAGTGCTCCAAACGTTGCAGGTTCCAACCTCTGTCCTCTTCCCAATAATCTGAGACCATGTTACGACTCTCGTGTTTTGGGATTGGGGCAATGGCCATTTCCTTAAGGGGCCGGTTACACAACCATAAATCATGCCAGAAGCTAGTAGATTTTCCATTTCTAACTCCTTTCCTGGTTCCACTGGAGAGGATAGGGGCCGCCCTAATAATACCTCTCAATGCGTTTGAGCAATTGTTCTTGGGCCTCCATGAAAGAGGGTCCTGGCTGGTAATAGAGTACTTGGCTTTAAGAGTACGTACCCAGAGACTGTCTTCATTTTGCATGATTCTCCAGCCAAGCTTAGCAAGAAAAGCTTGATTCATAACACTTGCCTTACGAAGCACCAGGCCACCACATGACTTGTTCTGAGTTATGGTATCCCATTTGACCAAATGACATTTCCTATCTCCAACAGAACTTCCCCATCGGAAGTTCCGGACTGTGCGATCAATAGAGGAGGTCAGGCTAGCTGGGAGAAGCGTGGTTTGCATCATATAGTATGGTATAGACGAGATTAATGACTGAGCCCGCGTCTGCCTATCTGCAAATGAGTTCATTTTCAACCTCCTATGGATGGATGGAATGCCAAGGTATATTCCCAAATCTTCTACCTTTTGGCGTGCTTGTGAAATCTGCTATGGACTGTTGCAGTTCTGGGGGAGTATTCCTCGAGAAAAAGATGGATGACTTCAGATAGTTCACCTTCTGCCCCGAGCTCTTACAGAAGGTATCAAGACAACTTTTGATTACAACAGCTTGATCTAATGTGGCTTCACCAAACAGGACTGGATCATCTGCAAAAAAGAGATGAGATAGGTTAGGTCCCTGTCTAGTGATGCTGATTCCTATCCATGTCCCTGCATTAACCGAAATGTCAATAATGTGACTCAATCTTTCAATACATAAAACAAATAGAATATGGGAAATGGGATCTCCCTGTCCAATCCCTCGTCCCGGCTTGAACTAATCTAATCGTTCCTTATTCCATGTGATAGCCAATCTAGATGAATTGAATACACACAGTTTAAAATGTTCCTTCTCCAATTCTGGTTGAGTCCAATCTCTTGGAGTGTATCTTCGATGAATTCCCATGAAAGTCTGTCATAGGCTTTATCCAAGTCTACTTTCCATACCATCCAACCCATTGCACCCCTCTTGCGCCTCATGGAATTCAAAACCTCTTGATAGACTAATACATTATCTGAAATCTGCCTCTCTGGTACAAAATTGGTCTGGTGAGGACCAATAAGCTTCTTTGATACAGCCTTCAATCTCAAGGTTGTGATTTTAGTTAGAAGTTTATAAGAGACGTTACACAGCCCTGTGGGGCGTAATTGTTTTACAGATTCTGGAGAAGGAACCTTCAGAATAAGAGCAATAGTAGTATCATTACATCCCTCTGGCATTATGCCATCCTCAATGTACATTATTTGTTGCACTTTTAATATATTTTACTTGCACTTAGGTGCACTATATGAAAATGTTACTTGCACGTCAAAATTCAATATTTACAAAAAATACCATTGCGTTTTTAAAAAAAAAATAAAATAGTGTTTCTGATCCGTTAGATCTGGACACGTGGACGATTGCGATTAGTTCTTAGTTCTCTCTTGAGCAGTTGGTTCTCACCTAATCCATGTCATATATATATATATATATATATATATATATATATATATTCATATATATATATATATATATATATATATATATATATATATATATATATATATATATATATATGCGCACTTCCGTAAAAATTACTCATCATGAGAAAACTATTAACCAATAAGAATCCTCTATTTGAAATGATCTAATAAATATGAAGCAATTAAAAAATATAGTAGTATTTTTGTAAATAAATCAAATTTTAAAGTACAACTAATAAAACTATAGAGTGCAACAATCAACACTACATGGTATAACTAAGCAAAAGTAGAAAATGCATATGTTAAGGTAAAAATAACTCAAGCTTTAAAGTGCAATTATCAACATTATATAGTGCAATTAAGCAAAGTTACATAGTGTGCATATGTTCAATGCACTTATACATATGCGAGATGTACTTTATGATGTTATTAGTTACATTTATAGTATTGTTAATTGCACTTTAAAGTGTATATGTATGCCGCACGTGCAGTTTACTATCCTATAGTTATATCATGGATCATGCATGTATCAACATGCACCTAAGGCATCCAAATTTTTTTTTTTATCTTAAATTTATTTATATATATATATTTTTTGTATCTTTGTACAAATAAAATTAATGTATAAAAAATATATTAATTAAAAACTCTAATTGGGATCTTTTAAATACTACTCATATTAATTTTTTTTTTTAATTTTTAAAATGAATCTATAAGTACATAAAATTATTATTTTACCTATCTAAATCATTACATTACTATAGTTTATAAAGTCACAACTATAAGTATATAAATTTATTACTGAATGTGCATAAATGCATTACTACATATTCATAAGAGCACTATTGCATATTTATAAAATTACTACTGCATATCCATTAAGTCACTATTACAAGTACACAAAATTACTATTACATATTCATTCAATTATTACTATAAATTCATTAAGTTATTATTGCGTGTTTATAAAGTTATTGCTACAAATTCATTATATAACTATGCATGGTTGTTTAATAAAGTCACTATTACATATTCATAAAATTATTACTACAAGTTCATCACAAATTAAATTATTAAAATGATAATATTAAAAATAATATATCAATATAGGTGTCATTTTTAATATATCAACGATATCTTTTGATGAGATATTTTTTTATATATTGGTTTTTTTATACAAAACAAAATAGAAAATAATATATGTAACTGATAATTGATCAATATAATTGGTGCAATTTTTATCAACTTGTAATAATATTATTATGTACCTAAACTTTTTATTAACATAGCTATATTTTTTTATTTTTATTTTTATTTTATGTACATGGGTCCATGATGCAACATGAACCTTGGTCTATGGTATAATTTGTATCATCTATTATTTTAGATTTTTAGTTGAGATGAAATATATCATTCAATTGCTTCTTACAAAAAAGTTGTAAGAAAAATTTGGTTAAAATTATTTAAAATTATCAATGTAATACGAGTGTGGTTATCTTAATCTTTTTGGGTGTACTTAAAATTTTCACTATCGGACACAGTGACTAATCCCTTCGCCTAATTGATTATGATTAAGCATATTTACTCTATGTTATGTGATAATCTTTGGTAATGTAACATTTGTGTCCTGTAAGTTAATAAGATAATGTAACTCCATTTCTTAAATATTATAATATTACCTTCAAATGCTTCAATTTTACTTATGATATTGAACATTTTTTTAATTAAATGCTTCCTAGAGTTTATTCATAAAGAAAATGTCTCATATTTTATTGATGCAACTAGTCCGACCAATAGTTATACCATAGACCCGGGTTCACCTTGTAAGGTGAACACAAATCCATAATACACAATTTACATATTAAATGTTCGTAACTTGAATTGTGAACATTTAGTATGTAAACTGTGAACATTTAATATGTAAAATTGTGAATATTCAGTATGTAAATTGTGTATTTTTGAATCCAAATCTACCTTGCAAGCTGAACCAAGTCCACGGTATAATTTGTCAAGTCCTACCTAACACAGTGTTGTTTGATTAATCTAATTATTAAATTAAGTGATCTCTTGATTTAACACTTAACTAAAAAGTATATCAAGCAAATTTCAGATTTAAATATGCATATAGCATTATCTCAAACATTTATTAAATCAAAACACAAAACTTTATATATCAAGGAATGGAATATTCAAGGTCTAGGAATTCCAGTGCAAGGTAAGTACGTAAAAGAACACATCGTGCAAACTTTATTGCAAAAACGCGTTAATGATAATGATTATGATTAATCCATTCAACTACGTTGATGTGAACACCTTTCACTTTATTTATGTTGTTTATTTTGTCCAATATGTATGCGTATTCTCCCCTAAAACAAAATTGAGATATCCTTTCTGAGTCACGTTGGAAATTTGGGACTATTATCTTGTAGTTATTTAAGTTTAGGGGTGTAGCGTGTGCAAACTTAAAGTTCAGTTGGTCTATATATATAGTCCAGTTCAGGTGCGGCGAGACCCTCTCGTGAAATCGTGCGGCGGTTTTCAGCATACACCAATAGTTAAGCAAATATACACCATCAACGTTAGGAAATGTACTATGAAAACACACACAAATTAGATACGCATCACCAAAAATACACCATTAGGTATGACTAAAAGCACCACACAGTGTTCGAAAATACACCATTAGTGGTAGGGAGTTATATGGTGTATTTTTTTTTGGGTGTGTTGTGTCTTTTTTGGTGTATTTTTGCATTTCATTGTTGTGTGTTTCTCTTACACTATTGGTGCATATTGTTAACACGGTCGATGTATATTGAAAACCGCCGCATGACAACACAGGAGGGTCTCGCCGCATTTGAACTTTTTCCAATATATATATATATATATATATATATATATATATATATATATATATATATATATATATGGAGTGGATCAGGTACAAAGATAACTTCTCGTGCGGTGAACACATAAAGACGCACCTTAAGTACACAAACCACGATTTTTAAACACACAAACCACGCACCTTAAATACACAAACCACACACCTTAAGCACACAAACAAATCACCTTAAGAACACAAACCACGCACCTAAAGTTTTAAAATGGCGCACGTAGCCCATCTCATTATTCTTATTAACTCCTTATTCAAAATCAAAACAATTTAAAAAAGAATTCTTCCCAAGAAGTCTTGTGGTATATGTTTACGACGCGTGATTCAATTAAATAAACTGAACGGGGAAATGATTCCCCGTTCAGTTTATTTAATTGAAGGATTTACCAAAATCTAAAAAAAAAAAATTTACATAAACTTAGATCAATCAAGTAATGATGTTTCTTTGAATATGCATATGTAATGATTTTCTTTATACATCTGGTAATGATTCGGTTTTCAACAACTAATGCACTTTAAGAAAGAAAACAACGCACCTTAAATTTGACCTAGATGCAAAAAGATCAAATTGTCACCATTTTTTTAATCATAGTTATTAATCCTGGACGTTGAATTAGGCAAGACCAATGACTCATATTTAATCGCACCATACACACCCAACAACACGGGAACTGAATTATTATTATTATAATATATATATATATATATATATATATATATATATATATGAGAACTCATATGTGGTCATGTCATTAAGTGTGGCGATGTGGTCGTATCTGTGTCGTTGAATATAGTTTAATCTAACGACAATGGCTAATTTTGAGGATTTGAGG